CCCTGCCCCCACCTCCACCTCCACCCCCCTTGGACTAGACCCACCTCATCCCCATCCTCTTATTCCCAATAGCCTCCCTGTCACTGATGACAAAACCTTTTTAAAATGTCCAGATATAAATTTATGACCAATAATTCCAGGAAAGGGAAAAGCAATCAAAGTAAATGCTGTGGGGAGATACGGTGATCAAAACATCTACGGTGATCAGGAAGAATTCCCTCATAGTGCGCAATATTGTACAATTGACCAGATGAATTACAGGGTGGTTGCCTTCCTCTCGAGTAACATATCTGATACTGGTCACTGTCAGAGGCAGGATAGTGAATTTCATGGATCAAGTGTCTAAACAATATGGAAAATCCTATTGTCCTATTTCCAGACATTGCCAGGAGTCCTGAATTACTATTTTTTGACCCACTAGCCAACAAAGCTTTTTACATCATAGCATGTCATGGGAGCAGAATGTAAACACACTCCTTTGACCTAAGTCTCCCTCAATAACAAGAAAAAAAAATGATTACCTACCTTTCATAACTGTTGTTCTTCGAGATGTGTTGCTCATGTCCATCCCATTCTAGGTGTGCATGCGCCCATGTGCGCGGACGTCAGCGATTTTTGTCTTAGCGGTACCTGTAGAGCCCAGGAGGGGATTTCGGGAAGGAGTCCAATGAGGGATGGAATGGGGGCGGGGCAGGGGTGTACTCAGGGCAGGGCCGGAGGCAGTCGAGCACCCACCGGCGCCAGGAAAAGTGGCACCTATGCGTCTAGGGCGGCTCCAATGTGAGCATCCTGATCTCAGACACCCTACAGGCCGAAGTTATAATAACCAAGAAAGAGACCTTCCAGGAGAGAAGCAGGAGGGGGCAGGAAGCCAAGGGTTCGAAGTTGGGGGCACATGAGCCTGGATAGCACAAGATTCAGGTCCCAAGGGGGGAACCGGGTCTCGTACATGCGGGTAAAGGCGCTACAACCACTTCACAAAGCTCCCCGTCATGGGATGGGTGAAGACTGACCCGCCTCGAAGCAGAGGGTGGAAAGCCAAAATGGCCACCAAGTGTACCTTGATCGAAGATAGTGACAGTCTCTGGTGCAGTAAATAGTCCAGGATGTCCTGCAGTGGGGCCTCATCTGCACGAATGTGTTGGTCCGTGGCCCAACACGTGAACCGCTTCCACTTTGCCACATATTTAGCCCTGGTGGATGGTTTTCTGCTGCCCAGCAAGACCTGCTGGACAGCAGCGGAACACCTCCATTCATCCACACTTAGCCATGCAGCAGCCAAGCCATCAAGTGCAGCGACTCCAGGTTTGGGTGCAGCAGGTTGCCGTAGTTCTGTGAAGCAGATCCGGTCGAAGATGTCCGACAGAGAGCCCTTGTCCCTGCCCTGCACAGAACAGAACACGTGGCACTTCCAGTTCTGTCTGAATGCGAATAGGTCCACCTGGGGAATCTCCCACCTGCAGAAGATCAGACTCACCACCTCTGGATGAAGCAACCATTCGTGGCGAGACAAGAAAGTCCTGCTGAGGCAATCTGCCAGGAAGTTCTTGGCTCCAGGCAGGTGGGTGGCTACCAGATGAATGGCATGTCACACACAAGTCCCAGAGGCTGAGAGCTTCCTGACAAAGGGCCGAAGACCTGGCTCCGCCCTGCCTGTTGATGTAGTACATTGCAGCTGTATTGCCCGTCAGGACCTGCATCACCCTGCCCTTCAGGTAGGGCAAGAATGCCTGGCAGGCCAGGCAAACCACTTTCAGCTCCCTGAGGCTGATATGAAGGGCCAGATCGCTGTGAAGCCAGCGGCCCTGGGTGCTGAGCTCACCCAGATGGGCTCCCCAGCCCAGGTCTGACGCATCTGAAACCAAGGTAAGCGACGGAGATGGGGACACAAAGGGAACCCTCTGCAACACCAACTCCCGATCCAGCCTCCAGTCCAAGGACAAAAGGACGTGGCTCAGCACTGTGACCACTTGGTCCAGGGCGTGTGTGCTGGGAATATAGACTGAAGCCAGCCATGCCTGCAGAGGTTGTAGATGAAGATGGGCATGGTGGACCACGCATGTGCACATGCCCATGTGGCCCATCAGTTTCAGGCACATGTCGGCTGTGGTAAGCGGATGGCTCTAAATATGGGCAATCAAGTCCGACATGGCCTGGAAGCATGCCTCTGGAAGGAAAGCCCTGCCTCACATGGAGTCGAGAACTGCTCCGATAAACAATATGTGTTGGACTGGCGTTAACTTGGACTTTTCTATGTTTATTAACAAGCCCAGATCGTCGGAGATGGATCGCACCAGGTCGAGGCTCCATTGGACCTACCCCAGAGACCTGCCCTTGATGAGCCAGTTGTCGAGATACAGGACGTTCTGGACCCCCTGACGTCTCAAGGAAGTTGCTACCGGCACCACACATTTCAGGAACACCCGGGGGGCTAAGGACAGGCCAAAGGGTAACACCATGAACTGGAAGTAACACCCAGCCACTATGAATTGCGGGAAGTGCCTGTGGCCTGGGAATATGGAGACATGAAAGTAAGCGTCCTTTAAGTCGAGAGCGGCATACCAGTCCCCCGGATCCAGGGAGGGGTGATGGAGGCCAGGGAGCCCATATGGAACTTCAACTTCTTGAAAGACTTGTTGAGGCCACACAGGTCCAGGATGGGCCCGAGGCCTCCTTTGGCCTTCAGGATTAGGAAGTAGCGGAAGTAGAATCATCTTCCTTCCATTTCCTGAGGAACTCCTCCACAACCCCCAAGCCTAGGAGCTTCTCTATTTCCTGAATGAGGAGCTGCTCGTGAGAAAGGTCCCGGAAGAGGGACAAGAAAATGGGGGGGGCGGGAAGGGAGGGCGGCCATGAACTGCAGGGTATTGCCCCGAGTCACTATGTCCAGGACCCAGAGATCCAATGAAACCCGTGACCAGACCAAGCGGTAGTGGTTAAAGGCAGTTGAGGAAAAGGCACAGCAGGGCGGGGATCTGGGACCCCGAGCGCCCACTGGCCATCGATGCTGCAGCATTGGCAGGAAGTGACAGACCATGGCCTGAGCCCCCTGCTGAGTGAGCTCCTGTGACAAGACGATCCCAAGGATGGGTTCTGAGTGTGTCACCGGCTTTCTTAGAGGGCAGAACGTAGCCAAGGCCCAAAGAGAAATGCTACAGTTGAGAAACAGCTGAGGAAAAGCCTGGACCCTAATCCCTGAATAAGGACCCTAGATTTCCCACCAAACCTTTCCAAATATTTGCCCCTGCTCTCTGCCCAGCTCCCCCCTCCCAACCCTTCTGCTGTATTATCCCACTTCTTGCCAGGTATCCGTTTCATTATAGTTCTTCTCTACAGCAGGGATTTTTTTTCTCACTGCCTTCAGCTGCCGTTTGCCGAGGACGATTGGGGCGACGGGGTGATATCAGTTGGGAGAGTGCTCTCTTTCCAGTGAGACCAGCTGGCTGCCTCCTTCCTTTCCCCAGGGAACACTGAAGTCAGAATGGCAAATGGGTGAGGAAAAGTCGACTGAACACTGTTGGAAACCAGAGTCCGTCCCTTCCTTCCTGGTCCTGTGGGTGCAGAGCGCTTTCAGCTCCCATCAAGTTCAACAAGAATTTAGGCTGCTCGGTACCCAGCAGCACTGGGCCCACATGGCCCCAGCCCAGATTTATTTTACTGCTCTTTAGTTCATCTTGGACAGGTAGCTGTTCCCTCTTCTCTGCTAAAATGCCCTCTTTGCTGCCAGATCCCAGAGGTTTGCACCCCTGCTATAGACCATCACCACACCAGGAGGTTGCTGGGACTCACATACCAGAAGAGAAACCTATCTCATGGAGCTTCTTGCTCAAGGTCCTTAAAGATGGCTGTGACCCTCGGAGCAGCTCAAGGGAACTCCGGGCTAGAGGAGCACATACTGGAAAGCCCTGGTGCTGACAGGAGAGCTTTGAGCCCCTCCTGCCACATGCCCTCCTCCCTATGACTTGCCCCATACAGTTTCTCATTACCAATATTGACAAGTTGCTAATGAGCTTTGAGCTCACATCTGATCAAATCAACGCTCATCATGTTGGGGGGCTCGGACTCCGCTGGAAAAACACGTGTTCTATGGAAGTAGCCTGGAGAGAAAAGGATTCAAAGACATGGACACATGGGATGGGGGTGGGGAGGGAGAGCAAGCCAGGGCTCATCGTTCTAACAGGCAGGGAGCAGACAGGTCCATGGTAAGAAGGGGGGTGGATGAATTGGATGCAAAGGGTTCCCCAAAGACACTGGGGCAATCCCACTGGGCTGGCTGTAGCATAGCCGGAGAGGAGGTGGGGGTGAGGTCAACAATGCAGGCACTGTAGCTAGTGCTGGCTCTAGGCACTTGCATGCCCCATGGTTGTAGTGGTGCTCTCCAGATCCCAGGGGCCCTCAGAGGATGTGGCGCACAAGGTGGGTGTAGTTCTCGTGGTCTTGTGGACTATGCGACACCCAGCACAGAGCACACAAGAGGGCAGTTCTCTGCTCAGTAGCCTTCCCCTGCTCTGGATTGTCACTCCTGTTTTGTGACAGTGGACACATCTCGGGCTTTGGGACATAAACTGATCACTGCAGGGGTTGAGAAGGAGTGTGCCCCACTGTACAGCATTGCAGGTAGCCAATGGCATTGTTGGCTGTTGGTTTGATTTTGTATTGGGGGAGAAGAGGGAGAGAATTGCTTTTCACGGAAGCATCATGTATTGGCCACTGCCAGAGGCAGGACTGGTGGATGTAAAGAACCAGTTGTCTGATATTACAAATCCAATGTTTCTCCCAGTGGGGATAGCCAGAAGTCCTGTTTTTTTCCGTTTTCATCACCTGCAACAATTGGCATCTACTGGGAATGCTGAGATGTCTCTCAAAGGAATTGTAAGCAAGTGCCTCCTCCTCATTAGGGATGGTATTTTCAGAGACACAGATGCACTCTAGGGAGTGAACATATGATTCTACTCAGAAAATGCCTGTAAAAAGGACATCTTCTTACTTAGCAGAACTGCTCCTTGTGTGAATGCAGAGCTGTATGGGCTCAAATTAGTGACAAAAATACACTTAACATCTCTTGCCCTGCAATAGACATGGCCAAAATTGACCTGGATTCAATTCTTTCTGGTGCATCGTCAACAGAATGGTTGGCTTAGTTCCAATCAGTTACACCTGTGTAAACCCACTGGAGGCAATGGGACTGGACTGGTGCTGCTGAGGGCATACCAGGGCTTTGAGACACTTTATAACTGCTGATGATACCCAAGAAGGAAAGAACTGGGCTTCGCACTAAGATCTCAGGTTGAGTTTGCAGAGCTGATAGCAAGGGGTGGAAATCTTGCCCCAGGTGAGCGCAGCACCTCTGATCTGGAGTCACTAAGACACAAACATGGAGCCCCAGGATGCTGTTTTAAGTGCTATTTTCAGAACCGAACCACACTGGAACACACATCACTACATAACTGAGAGGAGTCAAAAGTCTATGAGAACCTCCTTAGCGCCTCCTTCTTTAAAGAAGAGCTGTGCAAGTCCCTTTCTACTGAGCTATGTTGAATGACAATTCATGCCCAGAAGGGCCCATCTATATAAATAAGTGTTTTATTAAATCAGATGAGAGACTACATGGGGTCAGGGGAGTGCAGGAGAGACAACAGGCCATTCTTGGCCACTGGGCAAAGGAGACAAGTGCCAGTGTCAGAGCTGATATAAGGAGCTGGCCAGGCTGAAGTTAGGGAACCCTCTGCCTGCCTGTGCAGAGAATGGGAAAGGGGAGAAGAGCCCACAGATGTGCTGGTAAGGCCCGGCCTCTGCCAGCCAAATGCTAAACCTTAATGTGCAGCATTTGCTGTTGAAGCTGAAGGCTGGATCTGAGGCCCTGGCTCCCCCACAGGGCATCTGAGGGAACGGCACTTGATCTGAGCTGAGGTAGGCCCTGAGAGGGTGAGACTCCGAGCTGTGCAGCCTGACAGAGACTCACTGGCCCCACTCCTCCGGCTCTCTCCCCAAACACTCACAAACCAGTAGGAGTTCGCCAGGGCTTCCTTCCGGGAGTAGGCAGGTGAGTGTCATGTCTCTGCTCGCCAGCCTGGCCTCCCTTAGGGCACTGCCTGGTTTTCTCCCCGGATGCTGATCATCTCCTTTCCCTGCCCGGGAGCGGCATCATGCCTCCTTACCAGCTCCTCTCCTACCACCAGCCTCACATGTAAGGAGAGAGATGGAGCGGGTATGAGGGCAAACTGCTTCTGCTGACAGGCTCCTGCCAATCAGCCCATCCCAGGGTCATTCGGGGGATTAGACGCCATCTCCCTGGTTTGAGCTGCTCTAAAAGCAGTTGCCCAACCAGTCGTCCTCGTCCTTCCCTCATCAGCTCTTCTTGCCTTGCCTAAGCAATTCCCTCAGCCACCTGCTCTGGCTACCCCAGACACACAGCCCCTCTCCCTCTGGCATGGAGTCTCTGCATCAGTCACTCGTCCACCCTCCTGGCCTCTTTATAGGGATAGGGGAAGTCAAGAACTATTTCTTTTACCTTGTGCAGGGTGTCCCAGCCGAGCAACAGGGATACTGTCTGCTCTGTCCTGCTGGTGGTGTGATCAGAGGAGTGACACCAACTCTTCCTTTCAACCAGGAAATGGAGATGGACCAGCACTGCAGAAAGCCAATCTAAAATGTAAGCAGTTATTTCAGAGACGTCTCTTTAAAACACAGACACACACACACACACGCACTGGAGAGTTTGCTCTACAAGACGTGCCAATAGTCGCTATGTTGGTTTGGGATGAGACATACCAACCCCTTAATTAGATTGGCACTTGATAAGATTAAAGGAAAAGAATACTACACATAATGTCCTGGAGATCTCTCCTCTGTACTCCAACCAGGACTTTAAACAACCAACAAGGAGTCTGTGTTCCCTACCATCAAAGGAATCCATCCCAAGTTTTAGAGTCAACCCAGCGCAGGCTGGCTCTGAACTGTGGGCATTTAGTTAGTACAGTGTGGATAAAAGCAGAGCAGAAAAGAGGAATAGTTCTTCTCTCACACTGGGATAACTCTGCTGGAATTATTCCTAGTTTGTACTGGCATAGGAGAGATCGGAATTTGGCCCCACTAGACTGGGACTCAGGACACCTGGGTTCTAGTCCCGGCTCTGCTGAGTGACTTTGAGCAAGTCACATCGTTCCCTGTACCTCGATTTCTCCATCTATAAAATGGTGATAATAAGGCTAACCCCATTTGTAAAGTGCTTGGGGACTGTAATGGTGCCTCACTCTCCTGGTCGGAGGGAGGCCACTTAGGCTCGTCCTGTTGGGTCGGGCCAGAGTTTGTCAGACCAGCAAGAGCCTCCCAATAGGGCTGCGCGATTAACAGTCCCTACCAGGCTTTAGCCTGGGCTTAAGAAGCTCAAGTAGGCAGCCCTGAAACACAGTCTCTAAGGGGTTGGCTTTGGCCTGGGTGGGGCTCAGGCAGCCAGCAAACAAACAGTCTCTAAGGGGCTGGCTTTAGCCTGAGTGGAGCTCAGGCTGCCAGCAAACAATCAGTCTTTAAAGGAGAGTGGTAAGGGAGCTCTGGTCCTGGGCTAGAGCCTCCTTGCACCGTGTAGGGGGTCAGACATCTGGGGTTGGGTGGCAGGGGGACGCGGGCCCACCCTACTCCACCGCCTCCCAGCCCAGGGCCCTGCCAGGGGCAGGATTGGCTACCCCTGTGTCGGTGGGGATCCAGCCGCAGCACGCCAACTGAGCCACGCCGGGCTCCACAGCCAACTGCTCCGTGGTTGCCTCCCCGGGGTTTGGTACCTGCGGCCTCCAGGCCTCTTCCGGCTCTTCAGGGTAAACCGCAGCAGGTACTCCGGGCCAATTGTTGACCACGTCTGGGGATCGGGAACAGCCACGCGCCTGTTCCTCTCGGGGCCTCTGGACAACAGGCCGAGCGTCCTCCTCCGGAGCAGGCTCTCCCCCAACTGAACTGTAGGGCCGGCCTTTTATACTTCTGGCCCCACCCTGGTCCTTCCGGGAAGGGGGGCGGGGTGATCTAGGCCCTGCCCTCCAAGGGGCGTGTAATAGTGCCTCGCTCTCCGGCTCAGAGGGAGGCCACTCAGCCTCACTACAGGAACGTAGGGCTGAAAAGCTTGATGTAAGAGCTAAGTGCTGTTGTTACCTTTGAATCTCATCACTTATACAGCTTGCTGTAGAGTCTCAGTGTCTTGATTTAAGGAGATCCCTAGTCGCCTGGGAGGTGAGACTGTGTTAGGTAGGCAAGGTTTACTTCCATGGGCAAAACCAGGTTGGAAGAGAAGTGGGCAATGGTGGCAGTTCACAGTGCGTGCAAATAGCATGTTTGGTGAGAAGCCTGTACTCAGCCCCTAGTCCTCCAGCTCTCAAATCAAAAATTAACATAAAGCCAGTTCTGCAGCGAGGCTTCAGGATCACCGACTTCATGAATACTCCATTCATTGCAGTTCCCTCTGGGTCTTCAGATCCCTCCTCAAGACCCATCTCTGACATGACCCCTACAACAATGAAATCAGATAATCAGTGGTGGCTGTCGTGAGGGGCAGATGGGAATAGCCTCCATTGACTTTATCTAGTTATAATAATGTCCAGAAAGCAAATGTATCCAGGCATATATAAACTGTATGTATTTATTGGCCCCCTCTCTCCTGACCCATGTCACTTGCCCTCTCAAGCCCTAGTTCAGCAAGGTGTTTAAGCATGTGTCTAACTTTAAGCACACAGGTAGTCCAACTGAAGTCAATGTGAGTACTCACCTGTTTCAAGGTAGGCAGGTGCTTAAGTACCTTGGAGAACTGAGGCTGTAGATTGTAAACGCTTTGGGGCATGGCCTACGTCTTTCTATGTATTTGTACAGCTCCTTGCACAGTCCTGATTGGGGCCTCTGGGTGCTACCACAATATAAATATTAAGCAATGACATGTGCTCTGTGCAAACTTCATGCGAGAGGCAGTCCCTTTACTGGGAACGGCACAGGCATCTGCCCAAGTGATATTCTTCACAGATGTGCAGAGAAAGCAGAGCACAAAGCAGCTGCTCTTGCTGAAGGAATGAGAAAGGAGCTTGAGAGGAACACCTGTGTTATAACAAAAATTAACACACTGTGGATGTCCAGGACACTGGATTCCAGGGCAGCAAGAACTCTCCATAACATGGTGTCAAACTGGGTAAATCTATACTGTCCAACCCAAAGGAAAGTGGGATCGAGAAGAGAAGAGGGCAGGGGAGGAATGTGCCGTGCCTGGTTCTGACTAGGCCAGCACCAATAATACAGAATGCATTTGGGAACATGCCTGAGAGTAAGACTTGAGAATTTACTTTGATGGATGGCTTTTGGAACCCCTTTATTGGTTGTCCTCCACAGACATTCATGTAAGTGAATTTTCATTCACAAAAGCACTTACCAAAAGTGTTTCAAATACTCATGCAAGCGTGTATTTGCAACAGACGTGCTCAGGTAGCCACCTGCAAAGCTCTTTGTGGATTGGGGTGTTACCCAACCAGGGAGCAATAACATACCACATGACCTGGGTGAACAATCACACAC